CAGGTCACCATTAGGGGGTCTTTCTAGGCAGGATTCTCCCCCTAGGTCACCAGATTCCTTGAGGGAGTGCAGTGGGGGGGGGGTGCCCATTCCCCTCCACCTTTCCATGGAGGATCTTGACCAGGTAGACAATCAGGCTGAGTTTCTCTCTCAAGAGACACAGCAGGGAGAGAGAGGCCCATCCAGGACTTCCCTGGCACCTATCCCCAGCCTTTGTCAGGTGCCAGTGGGACCTAGCTGGGATTCCTTAGATATGGAGGATCTGCCTGTTGGCCTCCAGAATCTCATTGAAAGAGCCATTGCCTCAGGTGTGGCTACAGGCATGCAGCAACAGGTGCCTCAGCCTGTACCTTAGGGCAAGGTCATTGTCCCCAGTTCTTCATCATCCCAGCCACAGGGCCCGACCCTGCTGGTCTGTCCTCCTGGGTTCCCTTCCTTGGCGAGCGAGGGGTCAGTCTTGGGGGACAAGGCTCAGCGAGACCCAGATCTCTCTGAGGATGAGGAGGATCTGGAGCCTGACCCCCTGCCTTCACTGGGTTGTTCCCGCCTACCCTATTCCGGTCCTTCCTATGCAAAGCGCCTGCCATGGCACAGCTGGAGGGGGGGAAGAGGACAAAAGAAGGGGAGCCGGCAAAGAAACCCTAGGTAAAACCATCCTGGCACATATGGCATCCATCGACCTCACTGTGGCCTACCTGCACATCCCCATTTCCCCCGAGCATAGGCGTTTCCTACGTTTCTCCTACCTAGGGGCTCACTTCCAGTACAGGGTACTTCCGTTTGGGTTGGCTTCGGTCTCTAGAACCTTTACCAAGGTGCTAGCGATATCGACTGCTCACCTGAGAGAGATTTCCATTAGGCTCTTTTGTTACCTGGATGACATCCTCGTTCAGGGGGCGTCTTCTGCCCAGACTAGGTCAGATCTCCAGCAGGTCATTGATATCCTCCAGGGCTTGGGGTTCTAGAAGAGTACTCTCTCTCCAGTCACCTGAATCCTCCATCTGGGGATGGTCATTGATTCCTGGTTGGATCGAGTTTTTCACTCCCCAGACCGCAGGTCCAGCTTGTTGAAGTTAATTAATCAGATCCGGAAGGATCGTTGTGTCCCTGTAACCCTTCTTTCCAGCTTGCTGGGAAAGTTCATCTCATGCATCGGAGTGGTCCTATGGACATGAATACATGCCAGGACGCTCCAATGGAGGCTGCTGCCATATCAGAGGGCTGATTCCAGCAACTCGATGCTCAAGGTAACAGCGACGCCGCAGGTGCTAATGTCTCTCAAGTGGCGGATGTTCCCGGCATGCTCAAGGGTTGCAAATTCAGGGAACAAGGGCGTCCCATATTGACAATGGATGCCAGCCTGTTCAGTTGGGGAGCGACCCTAGGCTCCCAGCTGGCACAAGGCCGGTGGTCAAAGAACGACCTTCAACACAACATAAATTGGCTGGAGCTCTGGGCAGTCCATCTCGCCCTTCGACGGTTCCAAATCTCAGTAGAGGGTCACCACGTCCTCGTCTTAACAGACAATGTTGCAGCAAAGGCGCACATCAATCGATGGGGGCACACGATCCAGAGTGTTGCACTCCGAGGTGATGTCGCTGGGATACTGGGCAGAGAAACACCTATGGTCCATCTGAGCGGAACACATCACCGGTGTCGACAAACATCAGGCGAACTGGCTGAGCCGGGAGACGGTAGACAATGGAGAGTGGAGTCTGTCCAAGGAGCTCTTCCAAAGCATCTGCCAGAGGTTCGGGAAACTGGTGGTGGACCTGTTCATCACTCCGTTCACCACTCAACTACCACGGTTCTCTTGGTTCCCAGTTCGGGGAACAGAAGGGGTCAACGCCCTTCACTCCAGGTAGCCAGTCGGGCTGCTGTACGCTTCCCCCCTGCCTCTCCTTCCCGGGGTCATCCAGAAGGCAGGCAGAGAGCAGGCAGAGATAGTCCTAGTGGCCCCCTACTGACCCAGGAGGGCCTGGTTCGTGGACCTGCTGAGCCTGTCTGCAGGGAGACCGTGGAGGATTCCCCGGGGGGAGGTGAGATTTCTACAGGGGAAGTTGATCCACCCAGATGGATCCACTCCACACGGCCAGTGGCTCCAACTGGCCGTGTGGAGATTGAGCGGGAGTGCCTGAGAGGCGCCCTCCTGTCCCAGAAAGTGATCAGAACCCTTGAGGCTTCCCGCAGACAATCAACCACCGGATTTACGATGCCACCTGGTTGATGTTTGTTTCCTGGTGTCAGGCCGCTCATGTGACCCCTGCCAGGGCCTTGGTCCCCTAGGTGTTGGATTTCCTCCAGGACGGTCTGGACAAGGGACTGTCCCTAGCTACTGTTAGGAGACAGTTAGCAGCACTAGCCATGGTGATTCCTGGGGAGGGCCCCACTCCGCTGACTTGTTTGCCTTTAGTCAAGAGGTTCCTCAAGGGGGTGGCCCACCTTCATCCATTGCCAGTTCATAAGTTTCCTACATGGCATCTTCCCACGGTGCTATGGGCCCTTACAGCTGAGCCTTTTGAACTTTCCCTGTCCACCATTAGTCGGTGGATTCGTCTGGCCATTGCCCTCACCTACGAGGCGCAAAACTTGCGGTTCCGGCCGAAATCATGACACACTCCACCAGGAGTGCAGCCACCTTGGTGGCCTGGGCCTCCCAGGTCCCTATAGAAGACATCTGCAGGGCAGCTACGTGGGCCTCCCCATC